ATGTGCTGTCTTGTTGCTGAAAAGCAGACTGTTCTGTTTCTTTTCTTCTTCTTGACGTAATTAGTTCCCTCCCCTATTGCTTTAGATATCATTTTATATATACATCTCTAAGATCTATGGGTAACATAACAAAATATCACTCATTATTGTAACATAACATTATGGTTTGTAATTACAGTTTTGCAAATATAAGTTGATAAGCAAATTATCTCTTCTTTGGTCTTTATTGACTATTACAATCTACATTATTTGCTTGGTTTTTTTAGTCATTTTGTTTATGAAATTCTAGTAAGAGAACAAAATTCACAACATAAGCAGCACAAAGGAGAACAAATATCTAGTTGTAAGATCATGTAAAAATCAGTTGAGTAAACTTTTTAAACACAATTCTAAAGATGTGATCAGTGTAATGCTAACTCAGGATAAGGTCTCTGGCTTCAACCACTTGTATTCACAGCACTAACTGTGGGGGTGTTTCAAGAAGACGGTTCCCCCATCCTTGCAGACTGAGGGTCTAGAGAAGCACTGAGCAAATGTAGCAGGAAAAATACAAGGGGAGTCACAGTTGCTTCATCTGTTCAGTACACACAGAACCTGACAGGGTCACTCTACTGTCACAGTCACTTTCCAGTCTACAACAGGGAGATAGAGAGATGTTTTATCTAAGAGTTAAGGAAATCCTCAACCTGCTGACTTTTCATCCATCTTATTTGCAAAGTTGTAGTTTTTGTAAGGCAGGAAAGTTCTATTCTCTCTCTAGCTCTGAGAAACTGGTAATTTAAACTTTTTTGAGACTGGTTGGAGGAGGTTTAAGCCTTCTGCTCGGTTGCTAAGCAACAAACTATCTCTATTGTGTGAGCACACTCTCTCTCCCCCTGCTAAGGCTGAATTTCTCAAAGGGGGGGGTTTCTTACCTTTTTTTTTTCTTTTTTCTTTTGGTAAAAACTTTGTCGGGGGTTTCCTTTTTGCTAAAACTCTGTTTTTTTCTGCTGAATACAATATTTTGGCAGAAGGTTTTTACAGGGGTAAGATGTAACTAAGGCAATTCACTAGCTTTCAGATAAAGATTCATTCTCCGGGAAACTCTTAAAATTTTTTGCATATTAACTTTTAGTAAAACGCAATTCTCTAGTTTTAAGTTATTTACAAGTGATAAGAAGGACTAAAGAGAGAGATTTTGCTTTCTTTTCTCTACTACTTACATGCATGGTTTCTGCAGGGCAATTCCCCCCTCGAGCAGGTCCCTCACTAATTCCCAAATAGTAGAGCTAAGGAGCTAAAGATGGAAATGAGAACTATGGAAAGGTGTGTACTTGTTTGTTTTAAATACCTATTCCCCAAGAATAACAGAAAAAGGAAAGAAGACTCTTGTTTTTCTCTCTCACTGCAACCTCTGCTGCTGTTCCCACTCGGTCTGCCCCCCCCTCATGGGGAGGAAGGGAGAGAGAATCTGCTGAAGCTATGTTTAGTTTCTTTTCTCACTGCTGCAGCCCCCACCGAGCCCTCCACAGCTTTCGCACGGCAGCTTGGCCCCCAGTCCCAGCCTGTGGAGGCCGCGGTGCACTCAGTGCGCAGCGGGGTCCTTGGGGACTCCCACAAGGAGCTCGACTGGTTTCGCAGAAGCAGCTCTCGGCACTGCTGCCTGTTCTGCCGCCGCCCCTGCGCCGGACTCAGGAAGCAGTTTGAACAATCTCAAAGGGAATTCCTATGCTCTTGTGTTCATCTGAGACACCTCTCCCGGACCCTTATCCCTGGGTTTTAACAGTTACTAACAAATCCATGGTTGCTTCTCCACACACACGCGCAACCCCCAACACACACACACACACACACACACACACACTAGCACGGTACCATTAGTAACATTGTGGGTTTACAACGACACATTGGACAGATAACAGAGTTAACGTGAGAGTTAACAGAAATACGGGAAGGCAGCTTTCTAGCCTGCCTCCCCTCTCAACAAGAAGTGGTACTTTTCCGGGGTCGTTCCATTCCTGTTTCCCTCTTGGGTCGCTCCGTTCCTGGTTTTTTCTTGCACTGCTGCTGCCGGGCTGCTCTCCTGCTGGCTCTCGGGCACTCTTGTTTTATTTGCGCAGAGCTGCTTCACTCTGCTCCACCACGCCATGTGCTCCCTTCTCCAGCAGGGCGACTGCACGGCCGAAAAGTCTCATATTAACGGCGAGGGGGGGTGGTCTTTCTCCCTTTACTGTCTCCGGGGGTGATTTGCTAGGTTTTTCTTCATTTTCTGACTTGAAGGGTGAGAGAGTTCGTAAAATTGGCAACCGAGGGAAGTGCAGGGGTCGGGGGGGTCGGGTTGAGTGCGGGGGGTTGGCTCCCGGGCTAGTCCTACATGCCGAGGGAAGTGCAGGGGTCGGGGGAGTTTAGTCCCAAGGTGCAGTCGCAGCAGGAGAGGGGAGAGAGAAAGTGGGGGAGCCTTGCCAGCAGTTGCTACACACCCATGGAGGAGGATAGAGCAGCTTCGGAGCACACAGAGGTTTGCCGTTTCAGGTCTGGGGGGGAAGGGGGAGGGGGGGTACAGGGGAAGGGGGTGGGGAGGGGGGGGGGGGGGTATCAAGGGGGCCGTGGGGGGCTTCTGATTGACGGGGGGGAAAGCGGGGCACTCCTGTATGAAGTGTCACAGGTGTGCAGTGCACCTGCAGATACTTGGTAACACAGTGGAGGAAGGACATGGTCAGGGAAAATAGTGGGGTTCCTTTAGAGTGATGGGGGTCCCAGCCAAGCTGGGGATTTGAAAAGCACCTCAGCCTTGGATGGGTACAAGGGCCAGAACGGTTGGTCAGTTTGTTTGTCTGTTTGTTTGTTTGTCTGTTTGTTTTTGGTTCATCTGCTGCTACTGCCCAGGTTCGGCATGTTCCGGATAAGTTTGCTTTGCTCTGTTACGTCCTGAAAGGGTGGGCAGGACAAAGGGCTGTTCCTGGGTATCTCCTTATGATTGTATATAAATAGGTGATAGTAAAGCAGGAAATTAAAGACTTGCCCAAACCATTCTAACAGGAACGTAGTCTGTGTGTCCCTGTGTGGTCGCGAGCTATGCTGGCGATGGTACATGCCATCGGTAGGGTCGCCCATGCCAGACAGGTCAAAACAACAGGGTCGGATACAATAAATCTATGGGCAGGATGAGCTCGTTAGCCTTCTGGCAGTCATCCTAGGAGAAGGACAACTCTAATCCCAAACCCGGGCAGATGGAGCTCGCTTAGCCCTCTAAGGCCATCCATCTAAGAGAAGGTCACTCTAATCAAACCTACATCCTGAGGATCTCACTGCCACCGTCCAAGCTCGCTCGACCCTGGCAGATGAACCTCAGGATTAAAGGGTGGATTCAGTTCCGCGCATACTGCATCTCACCTAAAAATCCATTGCGCAGGCTTGAAGGCTCATCCCACATGCAAAAAGTCCTGTAGCGACGGGCGAGGGTTTAAACGGCAGGTGAAAGGTGCACTGGAAGCAGCAGACTCAACTCCGCATGCAGGCGGTTCAGGATATTGGTCATTTGAGACTGACCGGAGATGACAGTCTCTTGGGGCAACACCCTGAACGACCAAGCAGCCTTTTCAAGGACAACACTGCTTACTCCACTCGGAGAGGGGCCTAGAAAAGGTGGTCTAAACAAAGTTCATCTCCACTTTCATCCGGTTGGTTAACCGCAGACCAACGGACATCTTCTTCCAATGTGGTCGCACAAAGATCAAAAGACAAAGGCATGCACCTGCCTCCAAAGGTGTACCTAAATTAACTCTAGCATGTTGGAACATCAGAACCATGCTTGATTCTGCGGATAGCGGACGTCCTGAGCGGCGTTCTGCCCTAATTGCCCATGAACTGACTCGCCTCAACATCGACATTGCTGCTCTCAGTGAAGTTCACCTTCACTAGGAAGGAAACCTCAGAGAACATGGTGCCGGTTGCACACTCTTTTGGTCAGGTAAGCCCAGAACCGAAAAACATCTCTCAGGAGTCGGCTTTATGATCAAAGTTCTATTCTTCCCAAACTTGAAAATCTGCCAACAGGTCACTCTGACCGCATTATCTCCCTACGCCTTCCACTCCACAACAACCAATACGTCATCCTCTTTAGTATATATGCCCCAACTCTCCAAGTTGACCCTGCCGAAAAGGATAAATTTTACGCTGACCTGCACCACCTTACCCAAAAGGTGCCTACAGATGATAAGATCATTATCCTTGGTGATTTCAATGCCAGAGTAGGTAAGAATTTTGATGCCTGGAAAGGAATATTAGGCAAGTATGGTGTTGGAAACTGCAACGATAATGGTCGACTCCCGCTAGAATTCTGTGCAGAGCAACAGCTCACCATCACTGATACTATCTTTCAGCAGAAAGATAGTCTGAAGACAACTTGGATGCACCCCAGATCTAAGCATTGGCACCTCATCGATTATGTCTTGGTGCGACGGAGAGATGTCCGCGATGTCCTCCATACCCGCGTGATGCCCAGTGCAGAATGCCAAACAAACCATCGGCTTGTGCGCTGCAAACTCAACTTCAATCTTAAATTCAAACCTAAAAAGGGCAACATCCCAAGGAGAAGACTCCAAGTTAACAATCTCCAATCAGCCACAGTAAGAGACAGATTCCAGGCAAACCTTCAAACTAGGCTTGAAAACCATTCCACAGATTCTGCAGATTTCTCTCCTGAAACAATCAGGCAGCATATTGAAACCAACATCCTGCAATCCTCCGAAGAATCCTTAGGGTTCTCCCTCAAGAAGAAGAAGGACTGCTTAGACGAAAACAATCAAGAAATCCAGGACTTGTTGGCGAAGAAGAGAACCGCCCACCAAACACACCTTGCACTGCCATATTGTCAAGCAAGAAAAACAACCTTTCGTCTCGCATGCAACAGGCTCCAACAGAAACCCCGTGACATCCAGAACAAGTGGTGGATCGATCTAGTTGAAAAAACTCAATTATGCGCAGATACGAGTGATCACAAAGGTTTCTATGAGACCTTGGAAACAACATACGGGCCTACATACCAGGTACAAAGCCCTCTACTCAGTGCTGATGGTCAAACGCTTCTAACAGATAAAACCTCCATTCTGAATCGATGGTCTGAACACTTTCAGACTCTTTTCAGCACCAACCGTGTGGTCCAAGACTTAACAATTCAGTCCATCACACAACAACCAGTGAAGTATGAATTGGATACTACCCCCACTTTAGGAGAAACCCTCAAGGCCATACAACAGGTGAAAATTGGCAAGGCAGCGGGGGTTGATGGAATTCCACCTGAAGTCTGGAAACATGGGGGCATTGCACTGCACACCAAATTTCACGAGTTTGTGGTGCGCTGTTGGGAACTCGGTGAACTACCATCACACCTTCGAGATGCAGTCATCATCACTATGTATAAGAAGAAAGGTATTAAATCTGACTGCTCAAACTACCGTGGTATTACTCTGCTCTCCATTGCTGGCAAAATCCTGGCAAGAATACTCTTGAACAGACTAATACCCACTATAGCGGAAGGGATCCTACCTGAAAGTCAGTGTGGTTTCAGAGCCAACAGAAGCACCATGGACATGGTATTTGTTCTCAGACAACTGCAAGAGAAGTGTAGGGAACAGAACAAAGGTCTTTATGTAACCTTTGTCAACCTCACCAAGGCTTTTGATACTGTGAGCAGAAAAGGTCTGTGGTAGATTTTGGAAAGTTTAGGTTGTCCCCCCAAGTTCCTTAAAATGATCATCTCACTCCATGAGGATCAGCACGGCCAAGTCAGGTATGGCAACACACTTTCTGAACCCTTTTTAATTAAGAATGGTGTGAAACAAGACTGCGTTCTCGCTCCTACCTTATTCACAGTCTTTTTTAGCATGATGTTCCAAAGGGCCACAGCAGACCTCGATGATCATGACGGTATCTACATTTGATATCGTACTGATGGAAGCCTATTCAACCTAAGGCAACTGAAGGCCCACACCAAGACCCTAAACCATCTTGTCCGGGAGCTGCTTTATGCTGATGACGTGACCCTTGTCGCCCACACAGAAGCAACCCTGCAGCATTTGACATCCTGTTTTGCAGATGCTGCTGAGCTCTTTGGGCTGGAAGTCAGCTTAAAGAAGACAGAGGTTCTCCATCAACCTGCACCTCAGGAAGTCCCCCATCATCCCCACATCACCATTGGCCAATCAGAACTCAAATCAGTCCAGCAGTTTAATTACCTAGGCAACCTCATCTCCTCAGATGGTAAGATTGACGGGGAGATAGACAACAGGTTGGGAAAGGTATACAGTGCTTTTGGAAAACTCCACGAAAGAGTTTGGCGAAATAAACACTTGAAGAAAAGTACCAAGATCAGTGTTTACAGAGCCATAGTGCTGTCTACTCTCTTGTATGGTTCCGAACCATGGGTCATCTACTGCCACCACCTGCGTCTCCTAGAACGCTTCCATCAACGCTGCCTCCGTACAATCCTAAACATCCACTGGTCAGATTATGTGACCAATACATCTGTTCTTGAGCAAGCAACAGTCACAAGTATAGAGGCCATGCTGATGAGAACGCAGGTGCGATGGGCAGGGCACGTCTCCAGGATGAAGGACCACCGTCTCCCTAAGATCTTGCTTTATGGTGAACTTGCCACTGGTTGCCGCAAGAGAGGAGCCCTGAAGAAAAGATACAAGGACTCCCTGAAACAACATCTCAGCCTTGACCATATTGATCACCATAACTGGTCTACTCTGGCCTCACATTGGGAGGCCTGGAGACACACCATCTATAACGCTGCGGATGCCTTTGAGAACACACACGGGATCACTTTCAAGGAGAAAAGGCAACGCAGAAAGAACCATGTCTTGCGGAATACACCATCTAAGGAGTCTTTCTGTTGTGCCTTTTGCAATCGGATATGTCTGTCACGTATTGGCCTCATAAGTCACTAACGTGCCTGTAACAGATGTGGATAAAACCTTCCCAAATCTTCGTTCGCGAAACCCAGCCATGATGATGATGGGTTTGAAGGGTGATGATTTTTTAG